AGAGAGAGAGAGAGAGAGAGAGAGAGACAGACATAGAGAGAGAGAGAGACAGAGAGAGAGACAGAGAGAGATAGAGAGAGAGAGAGAGAGACAGACAGAGAGAGACAGAGACAGAGAGAGAGACAGAGAGAGAGAGAGAGACAGACAGAGAGAGACAGAGACAGAGAGAGAGACAGAGACAGTGGAAGAGACAAGACAACCTTTTTAGATATTGTTCAGCTTTTTGATGAAAGGAAACATGATTTACTTTTCATTTAACTTTACAAACAGACGTGAGGAAGCAGCTGATACTGTGTGTGTGTGTGTGTGTGTGTGTGTGTGTCCTCCACCTTCTCCACGCTGTCGTCCACAGACAGCAGCGTCTGCAGTCGCTTCCTATGCAGCATGTTGGTGAACTCCATGTGGATGGGCTTCATGGGGCCGGTGTAACGCATGATCCAGTGCTTGTCCTGGTTCGGAGCGTAGTTGTAACTGGGAGTACTGGGGAGGACGGGAGACAGGAGAGACAGACGATGGTTAAAGTGTGTGTGTGTGTGTGTGTCTCATTACACTGCTGTTTGGAGGCAATAGGACACATCAAGCTGTGTGTGGACTAATGACAGCAGATGCTCCTGTTCATTAATTACACACACACACACACACACTGTGTGGATAATGAATGCGTCCCTTCAGACAGCTCGTTTACTTCTCTCTCTTCTACATAATTAAACGTCCACGTTAACAGAAATAACCTGAAACAGCTCAGCTTTCTCCCGACTGCACAGCTGGAAACATCTGCGTCAAACACCAGCAGCATCGGCTTCAGTCGGTCCGACACACCAACATGTAAACGGGCTGATGACGAGGAGCGTCAGGTCACAGGTTCAAATCCACCACACGACCTCCTCCAAACACCTTCAGGGTGACGTCACACAAACTACGGGATGATTTCATTCTGTTATTTTCTTTCTTGTATCTATGATTTTAGATTCTAGGGGCGGGGCTACACGGTGATTGACAGGTCTCTACCAGAGACTATACAGCCTCTCTATGTCTCTCCTCCTCAGTCCAGATATGGTCACTTCCTGTTCACTGGTTGCAAAAAATAAACAAGATGGCGACGGACAAAACGTCGAACTAGAGGCTTCCTCAAACCAGCGAGTGACGTCACCATCACTGCGTCCACTTCTTCATATACAGTCTGTTTCATGGTCTCATGTTGATCCACATCATCTGCAGATTGATTCCATATCTGATATCTAAATGAATAAGAGTTTCTGTTCCTCAGAGGACGACTTGATGAATGTGACATCGTCCTCAAGCTGAAGGTAAAGATCAACACAGCAGCTGTGTTCTGCTCCTCAGCCTCATGCAGCTGCTGTCACAGGTTGTTAGAGCTGGTATTTGTTTGTACTCTCTTGTACTGCATCCTTATTTAATGCCTCTTATACATTATGTAAAGGCTCTGAACCATCATGTGTGCATAATGGGCTCGCTCCTTGTTTCTTTTCCCACACGGACGTTCGTGTACGATGTGAAAAGAGGTCGTTAAAATAAGGGAGATGCTTTTAGCACCCAAGTGTTCGTCAACAGCATGTTTATCTTTCCTCAAGCTCACCAAGAGCTCTTGCTGCTGCTGAACAGAACTGCTGCTGGAATTAAAAATGTTGATAAAAAACAGGAAATAACAAGTTAACTGAGCGTAAAAACTGTCTTCAAACAGAACCCTGAATTCAACCATAGAGTGTCTATGAGAAGGAGACGAAGCCGTCGTGACGTCTCACGGAGCAGGACTTTTATTTTGAAAATCAAGACCACAGAGAGAAAAATGTGAGGGGAGCGAACAAACAACCCAAAACTGCTCTGAGTTCACACAAACACGAGTTATCCTGTAGAGCTGCTTCATTCTTCAGCTGGATTATCGTGGTTTAGTCTTTGTGTGTGTGTGTGTGTGTGGGGGGGGCCTTACATGTGCTGCGAGGCGTTGGGGAAGGCGGTGCTGTACTGCGGCGCCGAGTCTTCGGGTCCGTGCGGCGCCGCGTGGCTCAGAACCATCATCACCGGTCGATGAGGATAAACTCTCTTCGAAGAGCGGAAGTACCGGATGGACTCGGCCGTGATCAGGTCGGTTAGATAGTCCTGGAGACGCACAACGAACACACACGTTACTAATGATCGGTACTGTCTTCATCCAGCTGTGCTCCTCCTGGTTAACGTGGTGACGATCTAACCAGCTGACAGAGAGAAGGAACGGATACTCGTGGTTATTACAGACCTGTGGCCTGTGAAGGTTTTCTCAAAATTTTCCAAGAAGTTCCTGGAAAATAATCCATAATTTGACACTATTTATTATCTAAAACAGTGTCAAATTAATTGATACATTTAAATAACTGCCTGTTGTCAGTCGGAGCAGATCAGCTGAACATGAGGAACATGTGATGTGTCTGCTTGAACATGATTCAACACATTTGTAGAATAAAGCTTTTAATAATAGATAATTAAGTGTAACATATCTCCTCAGGTTTAAATGGTGCTTCTCTTTCAAATTCATTTCTATTTTCCTCATAAATGATCCCAAGTTAAGTTATTACCTTAAGGAAGCGTTTTAGGAAATTAAAAGAGGGATTTTGATAATAAACAGGCCGGTAAACATACATATTAATATGGATTAAAACCAAATGACTGACAGCTGAGTAGTGATTTTAATCTTGAGCATGAAGACATGTGAGTATCATCAACGTTTGTTCGCCACAGAGATTATTTTCAGCAATAATCCAAAACCCAAAGAAAAAATCTCGTCAGTTTATTGTGGAGGGAACTTCCTGTTGGACAAAAAAAATACATCATCCCTGCAGCTCTCTGAATAAATCAGGTAGATCTGTCTGTCTGTCTGTCTGTCTGTCTGTCTGTCTGTCTGTCTGTCTGTCTGTCTGTCTCTCTGTCTGTCTGTCTGTCTCTCTGTCTGTCTGTCTGTCTCTCTCTCTCTGTCTGTCTGTCTCTCTGTCTGTCTCTCTGTCTGT